TATATATATATATATATATATATATATATATATATATATATATATATATATATATAAAGAACATAATAGTAATGTTTTTAATTTTGCAGATTTAACATGTTGTTGAGGGAAGACAATAACGGGGGTTCAAATTGAGATAGGAAGATTTGAAGTTAGAAATGTAAGGCAGGCAGGCAGGGGTAATTTGGACTTAAACTTGAATTATATATGATTTGATCGTTTTTATTTCATCTTTTACTTGTGTTTTTGCGTTTCTTGACCAAGGGATTTTATTTTGTCAAATGTTTAACATATCGTATCAATTCAACCAATTTCAATTTCAATTTCAATTTCAATTTCTTTTTGCTAATAACAAACTCACATTATATTGTAAAGTTCAAGCAATGGAGCTTTGGGCTCATAGGCTTTGACTCCACACACCTCTAAACTATACTCCGCCAATTTTTAGTAAACTGCTGTTTAGCACTTACCGTTTAAATTTAACATTATTATTTACCTTACCGGATAAGATTTTAGTCCACTAAAACGATATCGTATGAAAAAATTTACCTGGTAAACACTAACTCCCGCACTTACAAGGTAAAACTCTCGGTCATTGCCTTCTTCTTATCGGGTAAGATTCTTGGTTCTTGCCATATTCATTGGTTAAAGCTATATAACCTGGTAAGTACTAATCTAGATAAGCATTTTGTAAACGATCCTTAAGTTTCAACAATAATTCTAAGAAGGTTTCCAACCTTTCGAATTTTAACTAGATCGTCTTGAAACTTAAAATTGCTAAGTAAACCTCTCCTTAAAATCCACAAGGTGGGACCATAGTCAGAGGCTCCTCCCCTTAAAGACTCCTTGCAAGAGGGCATAACCCCTTGACATCCGGCTTATGCAATCTAATCTGATAGTCAACATTTTTAAGTATGCACTCCGCACCTCCTTCACTCACTTATGTTTGCTATATCACCAAATTGATCTCACGTAAATTACAATCGTACTAAAACGATTGATGACACTAAAATCACCAACATCACCCACCCATGCAACCCATAATCACTTGTCATCATAAAATATCAAGCGCTATATATAGGCGTCGAACAATATAATCAAGAACAACGAAACAAGAAATTTTATCAAAACCAGAACGTCTGATTTGTACATGACAAAAAAAAGTCAAGGATTTGAACTTGCAACCATTTTAAGACCCTTGAAAAAACATAACACAATTTTTCATCGAAGAAAAACACGTGTATATAAAAATCGTGAGAAAAATCCTGGTTCATACTTGTAATAATGGTGCATAACCTACAATACAGGAAGAGAGATGGATTGTGATACTGTACAATCTTACAAAATTGGAGGCTAGAGGAAATTTATTGAACTGCCAATCGTTGAAGATGGTCTAAAAAGATCTCGAAGCTAACATCATCTGTAAACAGAACATCACCACCAGGAGTAGGAGGAGCATCCGAATTGTATGTAGCCGAAGGATTTAGTTTCGCCAATAGAAAACGAGCCTGAATACATAGTTTTACTAGTCAGCAAAAACTAAAATCTTGCTAATATCTGTTGTCTAGCCGTTATAATATGTTTCTCCCTCCGTCCCAAAACAAGTGTTCTACATCTCTATTTTGATTTGTCCCAAAATAAGCTGCAAGTGCACACTTTCCAACTCTACCCTTAACTATGGATGAAGAAATTCATTACTTCCCATATTATGAAGGGTAAAACTGCCATTTAAGTTCATTAAAATAATTACATATTTGTTTGTAAACGTGCGTTTTTTTGGGACGGAGGGAGTATTCACTTTATCTTCATCAAAAAAACAATAGTTTTGAAGGTATAATAGGAAGTTGAGATATTTATGACCTGAGATCCATGCTGATCGCAGATGACTACACGGGGAACTGGAAACCGTTCCTTTACTATAGCATTGGCATCGTCAAGAGGAGCTTGCAACAACTGAGCAAAAACCTGCAATAAGATTAGATTTGGCAAGTGAGCTACACAAACGCTAACAAAATGAACTCACTAGGACATAAGGAGAGACGGTGTTCAAACAAGCACACCGGACCAAACAAACCCAATATATCCCACCTGAGGTGGGGTCTACGGAGGGTAAGATGTATGTGACCTCCACCTCAAAGACCAGGCGGCTGTTCAAATGTATTCATAATTTTGGGTGAAAACCACAAATAGATTCCAACAAGATAATGATATTAACCAAAGGGCCTTTGGCCTAGGCGGAATCGTAGCCCTTGGCCTTCTAGGAGGTCAGGGGTTCAAACCTCACCATAGGTGAGGAGGGTGTGTGAGTTTATTTGTTGCATTTGCTGTATATAAATATTATATACTACAAAAAAAAAGATAATGATATTAAGAAAGATAAAAATAAAAGAAGGGTATTTGCCACCCTCTAAAGTGCCCCCAGTCTCACGATCATCATGGGGGAGGTAAATTGTGCATGCATCCCATTGCCGGAGGGGCGGGTGCCCGGGCTTGAACCCAAGACCTCACACATACAGATTATAGCCAAACCTCTAGCGCTAGGACAGATCAGCGAGAATGGAAGATAAAGATAAAGAAGAAAGATGAGCAGGTCCTTTCCTGAGAATTTATAGTCCCGGGGTGAAATGTAAAAAAGAGACCTTGATAAGTACATTTCTTTTTTCAGTGTATTGTTTTTATCATAAGAAATAACATTGAATTCAAGAGATGCTAATAATTCAAATAAAACCGTTTTTCAAGTATTCCTAGACACGAACTCAATCAATAATTATTTCTAAACTAATATTATCTACCATATCATTTTTACATAACATTGTCAATCCGCTCTATCGTAAAAAACATCATTTATTTAATACATAGATTGACATCTTTGAGGTCACAATTTTGATTATTCAGATTAACATGCACTCTATGTCAATCAATATAAATCAAATGGGTTTTCATGTCACTTCATGTTAGTATTTTTCATCACCATTTTAAACTTTTTAGGGTTAAAACAAACTTTTTTGGAACCATGTTGGTTATAGCTTGAGATCTTATTCTTAAGAGCAATTAAGATTCATGCACCCAATATTAAGTAATAAGGAGTCAATAATGCATGAAACAGCAAGTGTAGTTTTGAAATACTAAATATAGATATAAGTTGGACCATCTCATATGGTTGGTAAACTTTTTCCAGAAGATGGGAGTTTTCTTAGTTAATAATAAAGAAATCTATGATATTCTAATACAAAAATAGAATTCATGCGGATGGAGTAATCAAAAGAGTCCGTGGGAGATGAATGAGGAGAATATTTCAAGGTTTTTAGGCAAATAGTTTTAAACTTTTGTACTAGATTAAAAACTTAGATAAACGATAAACAACACTATAAAATGAATGACCGATTAATTTTACATATTTTATTCTCCATTCTAATTAATTAATACATGTTTGGACGCTTAATATAATACTAAATTCTTTCTATGACAACATTCTGGAACTTCCAAACCAAAGAAATGCAACAGGAAATGATTAGATACTAAAAATTTTGTGTCGATTTTATTTACTAATTTTTTAACTACTATTGTATATACACCAAAAAAGTTCTTGGGGGCCCTGGACGTGCGCCTGGCCTGGCCTGGCCAGCACTCCCCCAGGGACCGCGCTGAAGATGAGATAAACAATTGGACTTATCATTTGCATCAACTTAGAATAGAGATGCACAAGGCCTAGGCCTTCCAAGCCTGTTTCAGTGAGCAAAAAATGGGCCGGGCTTTTTTAGGGCCAGGCTGGGCTTTGGGGTTGAAAAAGGGCCGATCGGGCTTCTTTGGGGCCGGGCTTGGGTTTTTTGTGCATCTCTAACTCAGAAAGAAGAAAAGGAAGACTACCTTGTGCTCGGGCTCGTTCTGGTACCCAGCTTTACGCCACTGAGCAATCGTAGATCCATGAAATACAACGACAGTGAAATACGAATCCAAAAGAAGAATCCTGTCAGCAGCAATAGAGGCCACATCTAAAAGAGCCGGTTCTGCTCCAGAGTTAAAAGCATAAGAAATCAAAGAAGGTTGAATCATCACGACTGAATTGGCAACATTTTCTCGGTTCATAACCATCCTAAAGTATGCTGTCTCATCTGGGCTGTTATTGAAAACCTGTATTGCAAGAGTTGCAAGATCTCAAGATCCAGAACCAGTTTCACTGCGTACTCTTATAATTTAATGATCTTAAGAAACAAATGAAGCGAACAAACTAACACCTGTACGAATTGAGATCTCCGTAAGTTAAATACAAACTGAGGAATAATTGCCAAGCGTGGAGATAGGACAAAAGAAGACGGGCTGTCCTTCTGATAGTCCCCAAAACGAGAACATAGGTGTATCAATGATTTGTCAAGCCACCTTATGGGATCAAATTCAGCCTGCATATGGTCAACAGAAAAATAGAGTTCAACCAATGAATCTTCACACCAAACCCACGATCGTAACATATTGACTACAATTATTGAAAACTATACTTTTATATACATCAGCCAGCATAGAGTCATTGACATTTACAGGTACAGAACTATATTGAAATAAATTCTAATGATAGAAATTTCTTGTGACAATCCATCAGCCATTGAAGAGTCATGACAAACATACCCGGTATATCCCAACATCCCACTCAGGGGGGGACCTATGAAGGCCCTAGCGGAGGCCCGTGCAGGTAAAATTCTTTTGGGATGTGAAAGGTGCACATGCTAAATTTTAAGGGATACTCCGGGACATCAACCAAAAACAGAAAAAGTCCCTCAAAATAAACCAAATAACTTAAAAATCTCTCGAAAGGGTGGAATTCGGCTAAAAATACATCGGATGACTTTGTGGGTCTTTGATCCATTTTAAAGGTGCACCTGCTCGGCAAAGATCTTGGGTCCACCGTTGATCCCACTAGAAATTAGGGTGGGGGATTAGGAAGTACACAAACCTTCCAAACCCAAAAAGGGACAAACTATTTGTTGGCCCCCTATGCTATTCAGTAAAATACTTTTTGGCCACTCTATTAAATTTATTTATTTTTAGGCTAAAGGAAATTTACTTCTTTGTGTTTCAAAAGAAATAATTTATTGGCCACCTTGTCTCGTGCTCCGATCACCTTCTGCCCATTGGTCCTACCTCCCAACCAAAACTAATTTCCTGACTCATGGTCCCTTAATGAGCAATAATATGACATCATTTTGGGAATGGAGACTGGTTAAGTAGCCATGCTTTTTGCCCAAAATAAGACCATGCGCAAAAACTGGTTGAAACATGAGATACATTGCCCAAATAATATTTTTATAGTACATTTGTCAAAATTTATTTCACTCAGACACCACAGAAGCCAAACATTATCTTTAGCACCAAAAGCGTGCACAAAAAAACGGACATTTTCAACAATAATTGCGTATACGGCCACTAAATTTGACATGGAAGGCATGCTTTGAACAGTCTCATTACAACTTATCCTAGAAAAACAAGCAAATTAACCGCCCCTTCTGCAAAAACACGCCTTTTTGAAAAATCTCGTTAATTATCACGCTACTTTTTGTAAGGAGGTGCACATCAATAACCTATAAATAGACATTGTTACCTCGGTCTCCATTTTAAAAGAAACTAGACGCCCCATGACCACGGCAGCTGCTTCTTGGTCAAACCCAGCAATCAAATCCTAGAAATGCCAAACCAAGTTCTTCTTTTGTCAACGTTGAATGCAATAAAAATAATGAATGCTTAAAGCAATAGAAAGAAAATGCTTGCATGCGAAGTTGGAAGAAAAGAAGAGAAAACACTTCTAAATCAAAGAACTAACATTTAGAGAACTTACATACCAAAAACTTAAGAATCTAAATGAGATCCTCAGATGAATTCAGAAAAAACCATTTGAATGATGCATCAGTACAAGTTACATGTAACATAACAAGAAATAATTGATATATTTGAACCTTGATGTGCCATTTAAGCCTTCTTTTGGATATTAATGTAGCCAAATATCATTATCTGTCATGTACCCATATTAGGCCCAAGCCCATTCCTAAATGATATTCTAGAAGGGTTAAGAAGGGGTATTTTGGGTACTTCTTAAAATAAATGATTAGTATAAATAGGTAGGACGTAGGGGATGGGAGGCATGGAGAAAATTAGTGGGCTCTATATGGGAGAGTTCAAGCCTCTTGAATGCTAGTTTGCTTTTTGTTTTCCTTGTTAACTGACGCATCTTACAGCATCCTTATCACTTGGTTTCTATTTCAAGTGTTCAACAATTCGGTTCATAACACTCTCTTTTTTCCCTTCCTTGTAAGAAATAACAACAACGCTCCTTTTGTCCCATGAAAATTGCAATGTTTGACTTGTCATAGCATTAAAGTAAAATGTTGAATTATTTGTTAAAATATCCTAAATACCCTTCACTAAAGACAAATACAGGAATCTTGTGGACCAAAATCAATATCATAATTTGTTTGCAAGCTAATAATGGGTAAACAAGTCACTTTAAATTGGAATCATCCCAAAAAAATTTGCAATTTATACAGGACATGAAAAAGAACTGTGTTGCAACTTTCATGGGACCAAGGAATAATAATATTCCATATGCAATGCACTACTACTAAAAAAGTACAAAAACAGACTTACAATAAAACAAACATATAGGATAGAACGAATAAGCTTGCCTGTATTTTTTCTGGTCCAGTGACCCATCTTCTCGAGAGAGTGGTGGCTCGAAGCCGCATTTGTCCATTGCTATGCTGATAACTGGAGCAAATTATATGCAGCAAGTCAATAGAAGTACCACTTGCAAGCCAAATACACTCATAACCAATCTCTAAAGAAAATCAATAATCACATACTAAGTCAAAAATTGGAAATAGAACTGATTGTTTGCAGCTTGACCAATAACATCTGGGTTTTCTTTCTTCACGATATCAAATATTAAGCATAATGAAGTAGATTTATCAAGTCCACACATCTTCCATGCAGTAGTACCCCCTTGACCAATAGTAGTGTCGGAGCATAAAGGACCTTTCTGCACAAAAACAAGAGTGAGTCAAACAATATTGGATAGTCAAAAAAGAGCCAATATTCTCCAAAACACTATATCAACCTTTTCAAGTGACGCGCATGGACCAAGAACCCCCTGAATTTTGATATCCTTTGAGAAGTTTACCTCAAATATACCACTGCATAAAGTGACAACTTCGTTACAAACAAAAACAAGAATGGTGAACCAAGATAAGTCAATACGTGCCAAAGATTGGGAGCAACTCCTTTCTTTTTTGCTTATGGAGAAAACAGTATTGAGTATTCCTCTAATCCCCCTCTACCATTGAGTAGTTACCACTTTCCAACTTTCTAGCCAAAAACAGACATGCCCTGACACATTTTCTCTTATTGAGCATTAACAGCACACCCATTTACTGGTCAGATCACTTCCTTATTTTACCTGGAAATTAGGACCCGTGGACAAACAGCGGTGAGAGCATGAGACAATGTTGCCAAATAGATCTCTGTGTACTACAGTGGCCAAAGCATATTTACATAATATATAGATCAAGTGTCTTATCACTCGAAAATCCCATAATCATTCTCGTGTCACAAATTAGAAGCACGGAATAGCATCCCCTCGTCAATCTCAAATTGGACAGCGAAAGGTCTACAGCAAACATGCCACACCAATTACTAGATGGCAAGAGTTTAAATCAAACCTTACTTTGATGATAGACCCAGGTCATTGTCACCGGACTGGAAAACACGCAATAGAGAATCTTTGAAAACGGAATGACCAAAGCTTTCTGCTAGTACAACAAGTCCTCCAGTTTTTTCAACTGCAATTTTAAGCTCAGCTACCCCAACCTAGAAGAAATAAACCGTTGAGTCGACTTAGCTACAATTTTAGTTCAAAATGAAATACATATAAAAGAGCATGAAACAGAACTGAAAGCATACACATTGAACAATATCACATAAAATACACACCAATGACATATTCTTAGTTATCTTCTGATTCTTGATCTTTCTTACATCTGCATCGATAGATATACTATCTATATTGTTAATGTGAGTATGTGTGACAAACATAATGTTACCTTTGGACCTGTCAGACAATTAATACAAAGATCATTGTGCAGTAAAAGCAACACTCTCCTTGTCACAAATTACTACTTTCTTATTAAGCAGGCCCAAATTAAAGAGTTTCCCAAACTAGTCATTTCATAACACAAACAAGCACTACCTCTAACGAATAATAGTCACACATGGACGAAGTTCAGCATGTGCATAGAGTGATAGAGGGCCAGGGCCCTGAAGTTTAAGAATGTGCTATGAATAAGAAGGGTACAAGAGTAATTGTACTAAATGTAACCAACTAAGGTTAGTTGAAAGGTAATTGGACTAGTTAATGTACCTATAAATAGCATAAGCGTACAACAAACATATTTAATAAAACTCTCTTCACACTTTGTTTCTTCTCTGTTTGATCAATTCCTCTGGTGCATAATATGGTTTCAGAGCAACATATTCGCTTCAACAATTTCAATTTCTGATATTTTCCACTCCAATCTCTGACATTTTCATTGAATCATACCAACACTATTTCTGATTCAAACTCAAATTCGCCTTCTGCTTCTAATGTGGATCCCTATTTTCTACATCATTCCGATAACATTGGTTTGATTTTAGTTACACAGCAGTTAAATGTTGATAATTACCCCTCGTGGAGCAGATCAATGATGATTGCTCTTCCGGTGAAGAACAAAATATATTTTATTGAAGGTACGTTACCTAAACCGGATGGATCAAATCAAGGCAAACTCAATCCTTGGACAAGAAGTAGTCAACAGTCTCCCGTTCGTCCACTGAGGCTGATAGCCGAACCATGGCCTTAGTTACTTGTGAATTGATGTGGCTACAACAATTATTGACTGGTTTTAATAATGCATTCATGCTCCTACATTCATTTCTGTCATAATAAATCTGCTCTACAAATTGCTTCTAACCCAACGTTTCACGAACATAAGAAGCACATTGTAATAGATTGCCACTTCATACAAGAAAAGCTTTTGAAGAAGTCTGCTAAAATGATGCCTGTTCGCAATCGTAGAAGCACATTGGAATAGGTTGCCACTTCATAGGGGAAAAAGTTTTCAACAAGTCTGTTAAATTGATGCCTATTCACAGCCAATTTCAGTTTGCATGTCTTCACAAAGGCTTTGCTTTTCTCAAAGATCAGCCTGTTAATGTTCAAGATGGCCTTGTAGAATATACATCCTCCAGGAACATCTTGAGGAGTTTTAGAATAAGAAGGGTACAAAAGCAATTATACTTCTTGAGTTCATGTAACTAACTAATGGTCAGTTATTACTGTTAGTTGAAAGGTAATTATGACTAGTTAACGTACCTATAAATAGCATAAGTGTACAACTAACATATTAAATAGTAACTTCTTTTCACACTTTGTTTCTTCTTTGGTTGATCATTTCCTCTTATGCATAATTAAAAGGCATTTGTATTATGGGTATAAATTTACTAAGCAAGTTCCATGTCATTGGCATGAGTGGCACTTGATTTGAAACAATAAACTATCTTATTGTCCATTATTTCGTTCATTCTTTATGTGATCAACAAAATATCAAAGAATCTGTAAGGGAACAAGGTCCAATGAGAAGTTAAAACAACATGACCCACAAACAAGGAGGCTAAATACTAGGTCCCAATCGTAAAAGTGACAACATATTACATGGACTGCAAGAAATATGTGTAATGAGTTATGTGGACACAACCAACTACCTCTGCATTATTAAATCAACATCTTCACACACTTAACAGGGTGAGGACCAAGATTTTAAGCAAACATCACCTGGTCAAGAGCACAAGCAAACACATCAAGTACATGTCCTTGATGTATGAGTTGCTTTGTGAGTCCTTCATATAACTTCACTGCTTTGTGAAAATAAGGAGCATCATCTTTATCCAGATCCTTATGAGAACGAATAGGTTCAGACAAGGCTTTTGACACAATCTGAAAAGCAGTACATAAGATTTTAATATACATGAAACGAATTTTTTTTGCTTCACAATATATGTATAGAACAACTACATAATAATCACCTACAATTTCCTCTTGACTCTAACTGGGCATCAAGTTAAATATGTCATCGTATCATCTAGAGTTCAAGTAGCTATCTATCTACAGGAAGGTTGGAAACAGTAAAAAAACATAACATTAAATATTGTAAGAGTTTGTGACTATAATACTCACGGAACCTGGTCCTTCGGTTGCTGGCCCACCCAAAAAGGCCATAATTCTAGCCCCAGAGCCAGGAACACATACTCCCAACAAATGAGCAGCCACAGTTAGCGCAGTGCCAGTGCACCTTGGTGCCCTTTGATCTGCAGGAACTGGCCAAGGATCTTTTTGAAGCTCATCCAATACCTGATTTAACGTCAAGTTACATTTCAAAACAACATCAATGATTGAAGCTTCCACTTAAAGATGATTTTATATGAACAATTCAACATAACAAACAACTTTAAAGTCACATGATTATTAATGAAGCAACTACATTCAAGATGGCTGATATATCAAATACTATAAACGTATTTAGCTCTTATGCCTATAAAATAGGATTAACTCGAAAACCAGACATCATAAAATAAACACATTAACAACTTGATACGTAGTTTACGCAGTGGAGTATATAGATGATACCGAATTTAGGGCAAACTCGCACTCTGCAGCTGGCAACAAGAACCTCGAAATGCTCTCCTGGGAAAGCCCATCCCTGACTCCAGCAACAACTCCTGTAGCCGGTCTCGGTTTCTTTAAAAAGAAACCCATCTGTTCCAAAACCTGATCTTTCGTAATCTCCTTAGTCCCATTAAACACATAAACCTTAGGAATTTTTCCGAAAAACCCCAACTCATGCACACAGACATACCTCCCAAAAGTAATCAAACCCACAAGTGAATTCTCGGGAATCTCCCCAATCACCCTGGAAAGCCCTGATCTTAGATACCCAATTTCTTCCTCAATCATACAAGTATCCACCACAAAGAAAAACACCTGCGGAATGACTTGGGAAGTGGGTCTCTCGTTCTGAGGTTCGTATTCAATGGTGGTGTATTGATGGAAGAGTTCAGCCGGGAGGTTGTCTTCAGATATTGATTGTTGGTATTGAAGAGGAAAGTGATTACGGTGGAGGCAGAAGGAACAGATCCAGATTTTGGTGGAGAAGTCGACGATGGAAAAGGGGTTGAGTACGGATCGACAATTGCGACATCGGAGAGGAGAGTAAGGGAGGAGAGGTGTGGTGTTTGGTAAGGGTTTGATTGGAGTGTAGATGGCGGAAATTGGGATGACGCATTGAGCGGCTTCTTGTTTGGTGCCGGGGAGCACATTCCATGGCATCCGCACGGCGTCTTGGGTTTCCAAATCCAAGAACTCCGCCATCCTGATGAATCGCAAGTGTGTGGGAGAGCAGTGGACTTCGGTTTTCTCGATTTGGAATTTGCTTACAGAAACTTCCTGTTACAGGGAAGGACGAAGGCAGCGAGACCCAAGAAACAACTTAAAGTAAATGACACATTGCCCCCCTCAATCTTTGCAATCACACATATTTGACCCATCAAATTTGATATTCCACACCAAATTTTGCATGATATTTATTTTTTATATTAAATTCTATTCAATAAATGTATTTTTTTTATTAACCTGGATATCCAACCCGCTATGCGAGCCGACTAATCCTAGGGCGACCACCTGCTTGGCAGATAGCTCGGAGTCACCGTATTTGAACCTCTGTGGCCACAAGGGGATTTTTATTCCTTCTTGAATTTGAACCTGAGACCTCCTGGTACTTTTGACCTTTGGAGCCAAGATCAAACTAATCAGGCACCACCCTTGTTGTTTAAATGTATTATTTTAGGGTTATGAAGAGTAGCCGGAGCCTAAGACGAGAACAATAATCAAATAAGAGATAGTTAAATCATGTATAAATTCTCATGTCGTTTTATTCTAACAGTCAATATAAGGGTGTGTAGGCAACATGACCGCTACCTGAATTGCGTGAATCACATGTGACTCAACTTTTTTCTTATTTGTTTACTGTTGTCGTACATTATCTGACTCATAACATTAAATTTGGAGGAATACTATTTTTTGTTAACGTTTGTATTTACAAAATGATCCTTTGATTTCAAGATTTCAACTTTTTTTCTTATTTGTTTACAAAATGATCCTTTAATTTGGTTTAAATGGTATGATAATAAAGTTATTTATAAAATTATAAGATTGTAACTTGTAAAGTTAATATATAAACACATGAATAATATTGAAAATCCATGTAATGAATATAAAAAAAGGAGATATTTTGGTGTTTAAGAGATCCAGATGCCCTAAAATTGATTTTATTTTGATGCTCCTAAATTGCATTGGTGACGTCTAAGCTTTAGATCCGGCACTAATGAGACCTGATATTACAGGCCATTCAAAGGAAGTGTTAGGCTTATGGCTGATGAGTTCAAACAGTTATATAAAAATAAATAAACCAAATATGTTCAAAGATGTAGTCAGGGAAAATAATTTCCCGCAAATGGTGACATGCACGTAGGGATACAATCACCCAAACGGTCAACCTTACAAGTTATGCACGTAACATCTTTCAATGACATGGGATACCCATTTCCATTGGATGTGGCACAAATACAAACGTATTGCCACATATCAACGTTTATCGGGATTACGCCTTAGATTATATGGATGTGGCACAAACACAAATGCATATGTAGTTTCACCATTTACATTCACAAGTAACAAAATAGAATTACAATCCTTTTAAATGTACACGAGACGGGATTCTCATCATTCCGACCAAGTAATATCTAAATCTCCCCAGTTACCTTCAGATACCCCTAACGCTTTCCACACT